TACTACCTTATGAGATTATTTATGAGAAAATATTTGCTGCAATTAATTTGGATTAAAGAAATATAGTATTGAAAATCTAAATTCAAATTTTTATATACATAAAAGCATATACATAGTATTGAAAATTTTAAATTCTTTAGAAAACTAAATTTTGAATGAAAAATATTTTTGGCATGAAACAGCAAAAAACAACATTAATTGAAGTATTAAATCGAAATATACTATGTTAAGACTTGTATCTAGAACTGCTCCCATTTCCGATACGTTTCTTATACAACAGGCCTCGACCGAGAAGTACTTTACTACTTTCAGCAGTCTGTTTTATCTTCAACCAACTGAGGGCTCATATCTGCTTATATTTGAATATTTGTAACTGGTAGAAGTTATAAACGACGCTGAGTAATGACTATTACTTGTCTTTCGTTCGCAGCCATAGCTCTTTCCATCTCCTCTCATTATTATGTTTTTAATAATTCAAGTTTTTATGAACGAGATGTTTCAAACGCCAAATGCTTATATATAGGGTGTAATAAATTTTACATAGCTCAATAAATATTGAATAACTTTCGACATTTCTAGCCGTTTACCAAACAATTCTTCGTTATAATTTCTGCACCACTTAATATGCTCTGAAAAGTAATAGAAAGCGCAGCAGACAGTGTTCATTTTGTTGTTGGAAATGAGGACTGATATTGTTATACAGAAACACCAAAGATACCAGAAATTTACATACCGACATAAAAGTTTATATTTTTTGCTCAAGAAATAATTTTTCGAATAATATAACATAGCAACATTTTATTTGAAAATTTTTTTTGAGGACTTGTAAAATTGAGATTTAGTAAAAATACCGAAATTTTCATAAATATTTTTTTTTTCGAAAAATATTAAAAATAACAAGAAAAGAACAAATTGCTGATTAATACAGCCGTGCTCCTACCCAATTCCATTCCATTTTCCACTACAATATCAATTCAGAAGCGTTTTTCTTATTACTTCCTTAGGAGTACCGGCATCATTGAGCATCTCTAGTTGTTACTGAATAGCATTGGCGTTGCTTATTTTATTTATTTATGCTTCATCAATTTATTATCGTTTTCTTTCTTTTTTATTTCGTTTTTTTCCACGTCAATAGCGTCAGCTTTCATTGAATACACGCGCTCAAAACGTCTGGTCCACTGCTATACGGTTCAATTTGACTTTTATATGCCCGGACACCTGCGTCGCGCCGCAGCAAAACGATCACTGCCTCACTTCTAAATACAATTCCATATGTACATACTTCTGCACTGACCACTCACTCGCCAATTTCGTGCCGCAGCTCGTCTCATTGCTGATTTTTTCTTTTTCACTTTTTTATTACTGAACTCCAGACGCAACTGATGCCTCAATAAATGTGAAAGCAATAGGAAAAGATGAAATTCTTCACTCATAGTCGCATTTTCTTCCGAACGTTCATTTAAGTCCTTTCTCCGCTTTCGGCTCGCCGCTGCAAGTGAAATCAAAAGTTGAAAAGTTTGTTGTTTTGACTTTTTGTTGCCCTGCTATATGTACAGTGTCTGACTGCCAGTTTCATCCTTTGGAGAATACATAAATGTCTGACTTTTTCTGACCACACGGACTCGTGGTTGTTTTTGCTCTCTGCTGCTGTTGTCGCTATTATAGTTGTTCAACTGGCCCTCAGACAGACATTATTGTAATTGATTTTTCTGGTGTAAAAATTTAATCATCGTACAAACAAGCGTGTGTATTTGCAGGAACATGTGTGTGGGATAAGTTTATATTTGAGTGTGGACTTGCTCATGTGAGAATGGAAGATGCTGTAGTACATGCACACACATGGAAGCGTATACACAAATACAACAAATTCTTTACAAAAACTTTCATCGGCCAGTTTGTATGGCAGCTGTATGCTATAGTGACTCGATCTGAATACTTTCTTCCGATAGTGCACCGTTTCTTTGGACAATAACCCATGCCAAAATTGGTGAAGATATCGCGTCAAATAAAAGGGCTACCATACAAGCACTATATATGGTCTCTGACGATTCCTTTTGTTACAAACATCGTGGCAAACTTGATATACCCTGTTCAGTGTTCAAAAGCCAGTCAATACATTGCGAATTCGCCAAACGTTGCCTACATTTAGGAACATTATTAAATTAAACTTGCTGTGTAATTTACTGCATTACAAGCTGATGGTTATAAAATAATTGCGAGAAATGGAAACTTCTTACTGCAGAAAATAAAAAAAACACCTTTACATGGGAACGTAAAGTCTTTACCTGGACAACGAATTTTAAGCGGGTTTTATTTTGTTTTAAAAGTTAAAGGATATTTTTTATACATATTTATAGAATATACAGTGAAATTTTCGAAGACAAAATTAAAAATTAAAATGAAACGCAAAAAAACCCAATATTTTGAACTAAAAAACAATGACTTACGGTCGAAAAAAATATTTAAAACTGACAAAATAGCGGCGCTTTTAAAAAATTGTATTTTTATGTAAAATTTGGGTCGTTTGTCATTTATAAATTACGATAACCTATCGAAATATGAAAAAGGTAAATTTTTTTTAATTTTCACACACATATGCAAACATAAAGTAATCTAGTAATCTATGTATAATAATATTTAAACAGTGAATAGAAACTATAGCTTAGCGATAGTTTGAACGCTTTGTAAAACGAATATTTAATATTCAGCCTTCGCAGAAAGCGCGATTGTGCAAGCAAGTTTCGGTCAAAGAACCTTAAAAGTTTATAAATATATTTATCGCTATAATGCGCGTCAATTAAGAATCTCATGTGATTGTGTGTAATAATTGCGGAAAACTTCGCCAACTTATGGGTTATTTTATATGCACACATTTGGGGGCACTTAAGTGCACACATAACTTCAAAGCTCTGCTTTTGCGCCAATCACATGCAGGTTACCCTGCGACTAGCTTTAGCCACTCACAATCACATATATATATCTATAATATATAGATGTACATATTTTAAGCATGCTCCCTTTAGTTTGGCTCATTTGTTGCAAGCAATTACGTTAATTGCAAAAATGTCAAAGTTCGGCGAAAAGTTGAAATTGTTGTTGTCACTAAAGTCAACGTCTTTGTAATTATATAATTTTAGCAACTAACTTGCATGTCGCATTACATAATATACATGTATAGCAGTGTGTACGAGAATATGTTAAATGTAGTATGTGTGCGTATGTGTATCTGTGGCACTAGCAAATATTCTATTTCATTCGCCCACAGTCGGTTGTAAGCTTAGAAATTATACATAATTGCTCGATCCAGCAACGAGATTGAATTGCAAGTATAACTTTTAGCTGACATTAATTAACGATTCCGTCTTTTGAGTTGCGGAAATATGTATGTCGGGAAAGGCGGAAACGTGTGGACGTGTGTGTATGTTTCTGGCTTAGTGGTCTAACAAATGTCAACTGCGATTTGATTAATTGTGACGCGTAAAGTTTCGGACACAAAATTGTGAAAAAGACCAAAAAATGTGTTGACTGATTTATTTAGTAGAAGAATACTTGCTGAGAATGTTAGCGAAAGTTTTGTAAGTAAATTCTTAAAGTCCAATTAATTTTTAACTTAAAATATGGATTTTTTATTCTCCGCTCTCTTAGCTTCTGCTTTAGTTTTAGTTAGAAATTAAAATTGCCCCAAAATGTAGGCAACTTTTTCATAACTTATTTGTCATATATAGAACTAGCATACAATTCAAAAATTTTTACCCACAGTAAGGCGCTTATGCTTTAAGTAGAAATTATTTAGGTAAAAAAATAGTTAGATAAGTTACTAGAAGATAAATTTGCTCCAAAATGTAGGCAATTTTTTCATAACTAATTTGTCATATAGAGAACTAGCATAAAATTTAGAAATTGCTGCCTACAGTAAGGCGCTTATGCTTTAAGTATAAATTATTTAGATAAAAAAATGTGAAAAGTGACATATGCACATTGATATTCTCCATAATATAAACAAAAAATGTATGAAGAGGTCCTATACTTAATACATTAAATGGCTTTTCGGAATTTCGCGGTTCAAAATATTTGTAGCCACTATAAAGAAAGTCTTAATATACTCAGTTTATTCTTATTTAAGTGTCGTCTTATTGTATATATGCAACCGGAACCGTTACACAAGCTAAGAGTTGGTATTCGGTAAAAAAAATCACTTAAAAACGTTGCCTACATTTAGGAGCTCTTTAAAATAATATTAATTTTAAAAATATACCACGGTTTTCTTATTTTTCAATTGCGAATAATACATTAGATCACTGCTAAAATAACAACCCTATGAATTGTTGCTTATTTTCGAACCATATTTACCTTCGCCTAAACTCACCGCGGTTAATTGGAAAAACGATACTTGAAGACAATTATTGTTTAAGTAAATTTATTTCTGAATTTGAGCTAAACATATTTGTTGTAACAGCGAACCACCTATTGTCTGATGCCGGCGTCTAGAGCGACTCGATCTAACAAGTACAGCGAACAGTAATGTATCGAATATATTTACTATCTTTTTCTATCCTAGGCGCGTGCTGAAACAGCTTCTACTTTAATCTTTCAATAAGTATAGTTAGAGACTCACAAATGACGCTACCATTTTCGCTGCATATCCATAAAGTATTCCGCTTTAAAACTCCTTCTAACACCTATTTAATATTGAACACTATGCACTTTCACCGACCAGTCGTGCATAACCCAGTCATTCAATGCGCACATTATATCCAATATAAGTGCTATTACGACACTCTTCGCTCTTCATCGCTGCGTCGAATTGTCTGGTATTCTCGGCATTTCTTAATCGTCTCTTGTACCATTTATTTAATGTCTAATCCTTCATTTTCCAAGCGCCGGCAGCATTTTTCGCATTCTCATCCACACATTTTTTTCCACCCACACAATTTATTTAAACATAATTCAACTGCAATAAAAACTATTTTCTTTGCTTCGTCTTTTTTTCTTTCGCACAGTGCTACGCGACGAATTCCGTCTGGAGCCGCAAAATACACGCATAGCACAGGGTGACACAGCGCTACTGGAATGTGCCGCACCACGTGGCATCCCCGAACCAACGGTGTCATGGAAGAAAGGTGGCCAGAAATTGGATTTGGATAGCATGAAGCGTATACGCATTGTCGACGGTGGCAACTTAGCCATACAGGATGCACGTCAAAGTGATGAGGGTCAATATCAATGCATTGCCAAGAATCCTGTGGGCGTGCGGGAATCTGTGTTGGCGACGCTCAAGGTGCATGGTGAGTAGAAAAATGGAAAGCATAATATTTGCTTTGCTTTTTTGCACACACGTAATTCTAGCTGATATATATATGTGTATACATATGTGTGTGAGTGTGTGTGTGTGTGTCAAGCATAGCAAACGTCTTACGTGCTTGCAAGCCAGTGTCAGTCCGTTGGTGTTGGCTCCGTTTTACAGGCAATTTACACAGCTGATTGGCAGCGAAATTGACTTGGCAACTGACAACTGGCAGCTATACACCGACTTGGTTGGCTAACCAATATGTCATGTATGGCACATACACACACACAATCGCCTGCTTGCATACATACTACATATGTGTTGGCCACAAACACGGTTTCCATGATTAAATCGTAAATTTCTGCTGAATTTGCTCCACTTTCGTAGGCGTTTGCCTTTATCAGAATTCTGTCATTTTTTATTCTTGCTTGCCTAATTCGTATTTATAGCCACTTCGATTTATTTGCTGCCTTGTTATTGTTTTTGTATTTACGGTTGTTTATCGTTCCAGTGAAACCATTTATCATACGTGGCCCACATGATCAAACAGTATTGGAGGGCTCATCGGTGACGTTTCCTTGTCGCGTTGGCGGTGATCCAATGCCAGATGTTTTATGGTTGCGCACAGCATCCGGCGGAAATATGCCATTGGGTAAGTGGAATTATGACTTTGTAAAATGTGTGTTGTATACATGTAAGTACTTATTTTTTGGCTAGTAGTAGATTTTATGTGGGTTAAAGCTTGTTTGGTAAACTGTAGTAATTTAAGTGTCAGTTTGTGTAAGATGCGATTTCTTAACGTTACGGGGACCACCACTTTTTCCCATGGGACTACGCAGATCTTCAACTCTAATTATTGATTGCAGTATAAGCTAAGTAGGCTATGGGGTTTAAAATACATATTTGTTTACATTATGCCATTTAAGCGATATCGATTACATTATAGATTATCGGAAAGTGAAAAAGGAAGCGACAAATTTTCAAGCGTTGAGGGTAGCATTTAAAAATTTGAATAAAAGGACGTAGATACGAGTAAAATATATTTCATACTTTTCAGCTTCTTATATTGTTATCACTCTTACAGATAACTTTTTAAGCATAAATATTCAACAGAAAACTCTAAGCTTCGATAAATAATTTACTTATAGCCAAAATAAGTTTCTGTCTCTAGCATTTTGTAAGAGACATATCGCTTAAATTTGCATCTTAAGTGAGCATGTGAAACACAATGCGTTCTAATCATTAAAAAAATATGCGTTCAATCTACGGTCTTCTACAAAAAACGAACCTAAACTTGTTATGATTCTATATACAGATCGCGTAAGTGTGCTCGAGGACCGCAGCTTGCGTCTAGAGCGTGTGACAATCGCAGATGAAGGTGAATACAGTTGTGAAGCGGATAATGTGGTCGGTGCGATCTCCGCCATGGGCACGCTGACGGTGTTTGGTAAGTAAAGCTCACGCAATTTAGACCTTAACAAAAAGTAGTTGCTAGCAAATAATTAGGTTACCTACGCACACAACATTTATGCTAATTCATTTGTATTACTTACTATTCCAAAAACCCGCAAATACCAATTTTGCACTAACGAAACCTTATACCCGAAACTTACGCCTGCATATAGCACCACCCAAGTTCATACAGCGTCCAATAAGCAAATCCATCGAACTGGGCGCCGATACTTCGTTCGAATGCCGGGCAAGTGGCAATCCGCGTCCCACACTTTTCTGGACCATTAAAAATAACCGCACAATCGTATTTCCGGGCGCGCCACCACTAGATCGATTTCAAAGCATTAACACCGAGGAGGGTCACTCAATATTGACACTGACGAATTTCCAACGCACCGACCGCGATTTGGTTGTGGTTTGTAATGCCATGAATGAGGTTGCAACAATAACGGCACGCGCACAGCTAACACTAGACTCGCAAGAGGACCGCCCACCGCCCATTATAATTGCTGGGCCGGTTAATCAGACGCTACCCGTCAAATCATTAGCCACATTACAGTGTAAGGCTATTGGATTGCCGAATCCAACTATTTCCTGGTATCGCGACGGCATACCCGTGCATCCGAATGCTAAAGTGAACATTACAGCGGCCGGTGATTTGGTAATTTCCGATTTGGACCGCAAAGAAGATCAGGGTTTGTACACATGTGTAGCGAGCAGTCGCACGGGCAAGTCCACATGGAGCGGTTATCTGCGCATCGAAGTGCCCACCAATCCGAATATTAAATTCTATCGTGCACCCGAACAAACCAAATGTCCCAATGCACCCGGTCAACCCACCATATTGAATGCATCCGCCAATGCGCTCACTATTGTCTGGCCGACAAGCGACAAGGCGGGCGCCTCACCACTACTCGGCTACACGGTCGAGATGTATTCAACGAATAAAAGTAAGACGTGGATACCGATAGCGGCACGCTTGAATGAACCCATTTTCACGGTTGAAGGCCTTAGTGGCGGTGCGGCGTATATGTTTATTGTGCGCGCTGAGAATGCACACGGTTTCTCGCCGCCCAGCCCCATTTCGGAGCCAATTACGGCGGGCAAATTACTCGGTGCCGGCGATGGCGGCGTTGGTGGTGGTGTCGGCAAAAGCGGTACATCCACATCGGAGTTGCTGCTCAATGAAGCGGAAGCTGTGCTGCAAAGCAACGACTTGGTCGAGCTACTCGAGGCCAATGCCACCGATTCGACGACGGTACGTCTCGCTTGGGACATTGACAGCGGTCAGTATATTGAGGGTTTCTACATATACGCCCGTGAACTACACTCGGCCGAATACAAAATGATGACCATATTGAATGCGGGTAGCGGCGCATCGGCGTGCACTGTCAATGGACTGGATAAGGCAAGCATGTATGAGTTTTTTCTTGTGCCATTTTTCAAGAGCATCGTAGGCAAACCGTCCAATTCGAAACGTGTGCGCACCATGGAAGATGGTAAGTAGCAAATAGAAGAGCACTTGAAAGTGGGATACACAGTTAGTGAATTTTAACGATGTCATACCAATGTGGTAGTGTAGAATTTTGAAATTTGTGTGTGTATATGTGTGCATTGAAGTATTCGTAAGGGACTTTTGTTCACTTTAGGGTTTTATGTGCTTGATACTTGATTAGGTTCACATTCACATACCAAAACAATGTGCACAACAAAAGCAGAAACCGGTACACCTACAGTTACATGGCCTTGCACTTAAAGGCAGACGCACACCAACACATTGTCATTGACACAAAATGCTCCCAATTGTGTGTTGTGATTGTCTTTTTGGTCACAGCAGCTTTAGTTGAGTGATTTATGGCCCGAAGTGACACCGCTCTGAACGGCAATTTTCATTTAAAATCGAACACCAGCTACCTATTAAAATTGGTTCGAGTGACTGGCCATGTAGGGAATATTTATTGAGTTTAGGTAGCTTTTTTCTACAGAAGTTTAGAGGTGGCTAACTGAAATGAGTTAGGTTGAATTGTATTATTTATATTATACATTCTTTGCTCTTTGAGATAGGATTAGGGGAATATATATAGAATACCATAAATAGTTTGCGTAATTATTTTCATCTTCAACACAATAATTGCAGTAACATTTCGGGTAGTATATCTGGTTATACACATTTACGTATTTAAAATTAAGTTGTCACATCTACAATCTATGACCTATTCTGAGTCCCGTTTTTATATATTTTAATTAAATTCATAATCAGAGCTGACTTTAGAAGATGACAAAGTAGTTAGTTAGTTAGACGTGAAAAGACGAAAGCGCAGTATTTCGAATTTCTTCGACATTACTGCAAAGTAAAAAAATAAAATTTTTAATCTTATTTATTTATAATCTATAACTTATCTGTCTTATGAAGAACAACTAGCTGCAATAGTACTTATTTCAAGTAACGTTTCTTTAAATATTTTTCGTTTATTTTTCCAAATTTTCCCTACTGGGCTATACACAACCTACACACCGCACAACACAACAGCACCACACGCTTTAGTACACTTTTGCTCCGCATTAGATTGCTGCCACTTAACATGGGTCACTGAGTTCCCAGACCAACTACACATGTACACACACATATACATACACACACAGAAAGCGATTATATTAAAGCGTCAATTTCATTTACAGTGCCCGAATCGCCACCGCATGCCATGGAGGCCATACAATTCAATCGTACATCGGTGTTCCTCAAATGGCAGCCGCCCTATCCGAATAAGACACGAAATGGTGCGTATAAAATCCAAATAAACATCAGCACAAAGTGACACACATACAGCTGGTAAGAGAAGATGGAAATCTCTATGAGAAAATGTGCACAAAAGACACCTTATCTCCTTAACTCTTGCTCAACACGGGCCAGGTTTGATGCCTGGAACACATATCGTTGACAATTTTCAGTTTACCATCGAGTAGAAATGAGATTTCTGTTTTCTTTACTGTGAATATTTCAGTATTTTACATGCAATTTTTTTCAAATTCTCTCTTTTTTTTTGCTTTCTTTTACTTCTTTCACCCGCTTGGTTTTCGTTTCTGCCATTGCAGGTATTTTAACCAACTACAACGTGCTGGTAAAGGGTCTGGACTCGCACAATACGACACGCATTTTCAAAAATATGACCATCGATGCCGGCTCACCGACATTGCTGTTGGCCAACCTCAGCACCGGCGTTACATATTACATTTCCGTTGCGGCAGCCACCAAGGTGGGTGTGGGCCCATTCAGCAAGCCGGCTGTGCTGCGCATGGATCCACGCACACAATCGCTCGACACCGGTTACACTAGGTATGTATGCGCACGTGTATGTGAAAAAAGCATCGAGAGACCGAACACACACATATACATACAAACACTGGTCTGCATGTTAAAAAAGCAAGCGCCAATGGCAGCAGACTATTTGCGTCCAAAAATATAATTTTTCACTACGTTGTTGTTGTTGTGGTTTTTCGTGTTGTTATTGTTGTTGTTGCAATCGTGTCCCGCAATTACGCTCGCACAGTGCTGTATTTTGTTGTTTAAATGGCCACCTACTAGCCAGCGTGCAAGTATGGCTGCCGCCCCTGGGCAGCCGACAATCAACACAATCACAACAGCACGACAACAGCAACAAAAACAATAACTACAGGACCATAGGCGACAAAACATCAACAGCATATACAGCGCATACAACAACAACTAGCAACATACATGCAACAGCCATAAATCGACAGCAATTTCACTTGTTTTCTGCGCAAATTTGCTGCTGATTAAAGTGAAAATGTAGTAGTGTTGCCGTTGTTGCTGCTCTTATTGCTAGCTGTGTTTGGTGGTGTTGTTGTTGCTGCCTGCTGGTTATTGGCAACTTTCGCATGTGTCTCTACCCCGCAGTGTCGCTTGTTTTCATTCATCCTTTTCACTGGTCTCTTGTACATTAATTTCCATTTTCTCATTTGCCTCACATTATTTCCATCGTTTCTCATCGCTACTCTTGCTTTCATAGGTATCCCATCAATCGCGACATTGCTGATGATTTTCTAACACAGACTTGGTTCATCATTCTGCTGGGCTCCATTATAGCGTTAATTGTGTTTCTCTTCGGCGCTTTGGTGCTCTTCAAACGTTATCAATTCATTAAGCAAACATCGTTGGGCAGTTTACATGGTAAGTAAGGAACACACACCAGCTATATGGCTCTATACAGTGGTTATACTATTTATATGCATGTGCTATATATATTCATATATTGCATTTCTGATACGTTTACTGAGTACTGTAGGTAATAATATTATTTATTGATAATTGCTTTGAAATGGTTTTTTAATATGACATTCTCAGTATTAATTACTCTCAGAGCTATTTAGGTGGAGTCAAAGTACACATGGTGCGTCAGTCATTTCTGCTATTCGTTAGCCGTCGTCAGATATTGTACGAGACTTAAGTTTCTTCATTGACCGCTCTCCCTCTCCTTCTGTGCAAACTGGTACCGCATTGAGCACTTTTGAAGTTGAAGTAGCGGCATCCATTTAAACACTTAAGCCTAGAAAACGTAACCGCTGATTTATAGTTATCCGAACTATATTGACCTTGCACAAGGTCCCTAAAGCTTTCAGTACTTTTTCACTTAGCAATGTTCTTCGCTGGTATTTTTTTCTTAGGTTAGGTCAGGTTCGATTACTAATCCTTAAGATGGGGATCGCATTTGGACTAAAATATGTAATCCTTAGTACAACCATTAAATAATACTAATGTAGTCGACTAAATCGTTTAATTTCTATTCTCACCAGCTTAGTGGGTAGACTAAATGTGTGAGCTCGCAAGTGCCTTAACTCTGCAAAGGCGGGACAATCAAGAAGGAAGTGTTGAATGCTTGCAACTTGTCTTCTTCCAAACAAATGCCACAACTGACATCCGGTAACATACTCAATCTTCAGCGTGGACGTCAATAAGGCACGGACCTGTTAAAACCGCCACAACTAAGCAAAGGTTAGCCTTACTGAGTACAAAGGGCTCACTGGACCTCTGGCGATCGACTTTGGCTTTGAAGGAGCTTGCAACAGCGTGAGAACCGATGATAGCCCAGTGCTGGTCAAACTTCCGCGATGCCCAGCTATTCACAAGTAGAACGCACGAAGAGAATGGAGCGGCGACCCGTTCGCATTTTACTGACAGTAGGGCTAGGGTGTCATCTCTTGCTAGTTTTATCACAAAGCGACTCGATACCATTGATAACGAGGTTAGGCATCCTTTAACTATAAGTAGGGCATAGTTCCTTCTCTGAAGGAGACTGCAAACCGAAGCTGTAAATCCAACGCTAGTTAGTGATAATCCTTAAGGTTGACAAGTTTTCTATAGTACCTTTATCTAATTTTTCTCTCTTTTTCTCGAAAAATATTCTTATTGTCAGATTATATATCTTAAAGCAGACTCTGTCGACTTATGAAGTATTTTCATTGCGAAAAAACTTTCCTCCTTGATTGTCTACTCACTGCGAAGTAGCTCTTGTGATGATTCCAAGATTTTCGTATTGTCAGTTTATATATATTAGAACACACATCCTAAACCCTTAAGGTTGACAAGTTTCTTATAGTACCTTTATCTCTTCTCTCTCTCTCTTTCTCGAACAATATAATAGCTCTTTTATACGATATTCATTTTGTCACATTATATATACTAGAGTATACTTTACGAAATGTTTCTACCTTGAGAGAACTTTTCTCTACAGTTGTTTACCCACTCCAAAGTAGCTCTTGTGAGATAAAAGTGATTCTGTAATGGATTTCCGGGTTAACTACAACTTTCTGGTCCAAAAAATAGTTCACTGATTTAGTAAAAGAACGAACAACATATTTACAACAACAATAATATCATTCCGGCTCAAAAGAATTAACATAAAAAATATTTGGCGAACGTCAGCGAAGGTTGCTTGGAACAGGATCATATAAGTAGAAAATCTAATCACTAACACTGAACCAAAACTCTAGAGTTAATATTAATACGCATTCTTGCATTTTGAGAAAAGCAAAGTATGCTTTAACAATTTGCAAACCATTGATAAGCTCATGATGAAAAATATTAGCAGAAACGTTGCTATAAAAGCTGAAGCTTTCGAAAAGGTTATGTGAAAGCGGCTAAAAGAGCTCATTCCAAAGAGAATATCTCGTATAAAAAAGCCGGCAGTATTTTTTTTTTCAAACCTATTAATTTTCTACATGTTGACATATAAGAACTCATAAACCTCCATTTCTAACAAGCCAAATTAACTATTAGAAATATTTATAACCGCTGTAAGCTGTTTTATCGATATAATCAAGCATTTCATCAAATTTCCTTGAAACTCCCTGCTTACCGCAAGGGAAACTGTTGCATGAAGTATTGTGTTTTTATACCCAAAATAGTAACTTGAATACCGATTTGAGCCCAAAAAAAGAAAAAAGCAATAAATATTTTACGCGCGGCAACCAAACAAAAGCCTAGTAATGCTTAACGTAGGCGATTAGCGATATCCTGGGCTGTAGTCAAGCCTGCTGCAAGTGTGTGGAAAAAAAGGTGGTTCCACCTCATCCATCGTTGCAGATACATTAATTTGCGAAATGCAAAAGCAAAGCGAAAAGAATCTACAAACAAAGCGCATTGAGAAATGGCGGAGAGGCACGTGAAAATCTCATTAATTATGAGCACAATGAAGGAGAACTTAGAAAAAAATAAATAAGTGGAAATAAAATTATAATAAAGCAAACAAAAGGTATATAAAATGTAGCTTAGCAAATTAGGCGACTTGATTAAGAGTTGCACATAACTAGCGAAAGGATACAATAACTGTCATTTACTTAACTACACACAAATAAAATGCTGATGAGACGTGAGCGGCAGAAGTAAATGAGTGCGGCAATGTATTTCTTTTTTTTTGCATTTTCTACGGCACCTATGCAAATAAAATAAAATTAGCGTAAAAAAAAAATACACAAAAGGGTTTAGAGCACGCAAAAAATAGATATTTTAGAAGCTCCGCCAACCAAGTTGCCGACCCTAGTGAAGGCATTTGCTATAAACGTTACATCCGCTGACTTTGGATTTGAGCGCCTCGAATGCGACTTACCTTAGGCGAGCACGCAGACATATTTACACACATATAAATATATAATAAATATGTATGTATATTTATAGTATATAGCTGTATATTAATTTTCTTTCATTTCACCTCTATATGCTAACTCATCCTACGTTTGCATTTTCTTTATGCTTATTCCAGGCAATCACGCAATCGGTGCGGTGCGCAAATTTCCTACGCTACCATTAAATGCCAATGGTGTTTGGATCGATCCGACCGGTGGCGTATGGCGTCAGGCTAGCAATTGCACAACAAAGGACCAACTTCCGGATTACGCACAAGTCACCGGGCAGCAAACGTTGCCATTACCCGATTATGAACGGTGAGTTATAACGCTGTTATTTTAGTAATTTCCAATACAAAAGCGCACAAAGACACACACACATGCAAATTTATATGCAAATGTAATGAAAAGCAGTCAGTTTAGGGAGCAAAATAGTCGCTGCAAAGCGTTATCGCTTGCCTCAACTGCGCCCAGAAAATTAGTTATCTATTGTGCGCGCGCAAACAAAACGGCAAAGTGTTGCCTACACTTAGGCGTCCTAGCACAAACGGTTACGAAATGTGCGTGTTGCGAATAATCTTAACTTGAAACTGTTTGTAATGCGCGTTGTGTATCTTCATAACCTTAGTTATAAGCATATATGTATATATATAAAACAATGCTTAGAAGACTTTCTCCTCACTCCGCGTACTTCCTTTAATTACTTTGCTTACTAATTTGCATTTGTGGTTTTATTTGATTTTTTTATTTGTTTTTTTATTGTTTCCTGTGGTTTTGGTTTCTTGCTTTTGCACCGAGTTCGGGTTTTTTTTTTTGTTATATATTTTTGTTTTTTGCTTCCACCCTTGCTCTTGTAATGTTATGTATTTGTTTTAGCTTCGCTATTTATTTCTGCTCTATTTTCATTTCCGATTTTTGATTCTTTTCATTAACTCTCCTTTGCCACAACTTTTGAACTATTCACTGCTCCCGATAAGCGATTCGCAAAAGTTTACGTTTGTAGCTATAAAATTTAATGTTATTGCATTCTGGCATAAGTTATCTCTTTTATTGCTTGTTTTTCCGATCTCTTAACTAATTTATAGTATTTAGCGTTGGAACTTAGGATGCAAGAAGTTAGCACGGATTTGAATGAGCATTTAGTTGGTCAATGGATGTGATTAGCATATAAATGGCGACATATGCAAACTTATTCTGTGACTATCTTTAAAATTACCTCTTATAGAATATGTACAAGTATATATGTATAAAATACTATAGTTAATATATGTATGTGCCACAGAGAGAGCTTTCGATAATTTCCAATAAGGTTCCTCCCTTCTTTCCACTCGGATTACATCGCAGTCGTGATTGAGCAGTGAAGGATTGCTGTATCTTAAAATCGCTTCCATTTTTAGAAAAGCTGTGGAATTGCATTTTGGTCACAATTTCAATCTAGCTACCATCCGAATTTCTCCCACTCTAGATACTGGCTTCTTCTGCAGGGATCCCGGCGAATCGCTGGCATGCCCAACTAGCTGAAGGAGTCCGAGCTGCTAACCAGCTCTCTCACAACTAGGAGGTAACTTATGGTCTGCCCTGACCACTTTCATGAAAACTTCAGATGTAACCACTGTTACCTGCTTAGAATTTTTGCGGGAGATCTCTCCATATTCTCTTCTTCAGTCACAAAAACAAATCTAGTTTTATGAGGAACGTAAATTTAGCGATTTCGCTAAACTTTGGTGCCCCTCTAGCCTGTGGCTTCTTACATGTCGCTTAACCGAAGATTTCACCACTATTTCCCCGCCGGAGCTCTATCGTATTCTCCGTCACTCATCACCAAATGTTCTTGTCGAGGGCCTTAGCCTTACCTGGATCCTTGCACTGCCATGTTCTAGCAAACGGTTCACCGGTGGTAACAATGATTGGCTCCAACTAATTCCTCCTGAGTTTCCGTTTCGTGCGGTGGTAGAAATGCTTCTATGGTCGTGGAAATGCTTCTATGAAAGCGTTTGCAATACGCTTTTTCAAAGATGGTTCCCACGGATCACTTGGACCTCTCTTGCCTCGCTTGATGCTGCAACTCGATCGTATTCTCCGCATTCAGCACCGGCTAGGGTGAATTGTTCTTAAGCAGTCTCACAGACCCTAAAGGGTGTAAGTTATCCAGGATAAACAGCGTGCTTTCACTTGCTTAAGATGACCAAACACTATACTTAGTCGTAATTTATAAACAGTAGTTGTTTTATCTTCAACATAAATGAACAAAAGTATGATCACATTGTTCAAAACTTTTAACCAAGGCTCCCAATGACTTTATTACTATCTGTCATCCAAGGGTTACACATGTTGTATAGAAAGCCAAAGCAAGTTGTGACGAGTCGTCTCAGTTCGCATACATACTCAAGCGTCGATTAAACTAATTAATCAATAAATTTATTAGCCTTAATTAGAAACCTTGATATTTAACCACTTATTTCGGAACACACGGAGCACTACTTCACGTAGAGGGCAGGAACGCTCCCAAAACTAATACACTCGAAGTCAATGTGTAAATCGCTTATTACGCCAGCGTATCATATAATTAAAAACCAGCTACACAACTGACAAAACAAAACAACAACAACGGGCTTGATATCAAAAACGCTTCAAAGCCATTAAAGTGTTACACTTGAGCGCATTTTTAGCAAACTGCCGCGACTAAGGCGACGAACGACGCATATGAAAAAGTGGTAAGAAATGCAAATCAAATAGCTGCCAGCTGGATTTTTAGCGCAGCACACGCTAGAAGTAAGACCTTCAAACTCAGTGAAAGCGAAATCAAATGTTTAGGAGCCTGCCACGTGTTGTCTGCATAGCTTTCGAGCGTGCTGTCAGCGATGCAGAAACAATTATAACAACAAAAACGCGGCAGCAATAAACAAACAGAAATGCTTGCCACGCAAAGCAACACTAACAACAAAAGCGTAAGCTTTAAAAAAAAGCACAATTTTGTATACCTCTTTTTATTTTACTGTTGCCTCCCACTCGCCGCCTTACCGCGCGTTGTTAAAACCGCCCTGCTATAATGGCTAGCATACATTCTGTCGGCGTTGTTGTTGCTCTAGCTGATAGTCTGCCTCTCAGCCCCACAGCCTGGCTGTTCGCTTACCAACCGCCGCCCCCAACCACCTTTTGCTGCGCTTAATGAATTCCCAGCGAGTTGGTTGTAACACTGCTCCACCTCCTTAACCAACTCTATCCACTCCTCTTATCCGCCTTTTGCGTGCTGCCGAAATACCGTACATTTTGCTGTTGCTTAAAATTTGATGTAGCAAATGAAATGAAAGCGGTAAGCAGCCAGCGCTAACATCCCTGTGGTTGCATTTATTTTTATATTTTTGTTGCTTTTTATTTTATTTGTGGCCGTTATGCGCATTTATTTACCTTATTGCGTTTGCATTGTTTTACATTACTTTTTATTTAGTTTATAGCTCCACACCCCACTGCAACAATATCTAGTACTCTGCTTGCTCCCCCCACTGCTGGCAATAGACTTCATTACCGTTGTAGCGCATTTATATTTCGCTGGAAAATTTCATTATATCCGTTTTACATTTGGAAACGCGCGCGTCACCATAAAATTTATTGCCATCAAAGCCATTACAATTGTGATTTTGTTATATGCCAGCTCTTACACGCCCAACTCTCCGATTCCTCACGTACTTGTATCTCTTTATTGCAGCTTACTTTGCGCTGACTACTGAACACTCTCTAACTGCTTTAAAATCGACTATTTTTCCTTGTAAATGTCTATTAAAAATATATACTACCGTTAGCGTAGCGTTTTAACGTTTTTTTAGCATTGGTCACGTGCTCACATATTTTTGCGTTGCCAACTATATAAAAGAAATTCCGATTAAACCATTTAATTGGCACTTTTACAAACCCGTTTATTGCTGCCATTTTCTTTTATTTACGCATACAACATTTTCTTTTTAAATTCGAAAAAAGCTGTGTAAAAAATTTATGTGCATGTTGCTATCTCGTTCGCACGCAAGCTTGCTCTCGTTTGTTAACTGTAATTTATGTCAAATGGATAGCGGTAATTTATCGGTCGTTCGGTGTAAGTACATATGGACAGCAGAAATAAATAAATATCCATAGCATTTTGCTGTCCATCTGTTTTGAAGAACATTATGTACCATTGGTTATCAAAGAGTTATTATAAAATCACCTTTAGAATCTTCTGTATGCTCTCTTTTGATATCGAAATTTTTTCTGCTCCAATGTCTTCTCATGATGGTCATATGTAGATCAAACCTATTCAATATCAGAAAAGAATGTTCATCGCCTTTTCAACCAAAATGACAATGTTCGCCTATTCGCCCCATGGATCGCACACTTCTGTGTAGTGATCTCACGCTTGCAATTGTGTTAACTGGAGTATACAAATATGGTAACCAATGCGGCGACAACTTTTTAATGGCCAATATTTCATGGCGAATATTATGTGATAATGTTTTTTGAATTTCCCACAGTCTTAGCTATCTAGCAGGGTGAACAACCGAGATCGTGTACATTTATCAGGTTAGCCTAAGTGGTAGTCGTTTTCGAGTCACCCGGGGCTGTGTAATCAAAAATTGACGACTCTTTTAGCTAGTTTTGGACACCAGCGAAAGTAAAGACTCACCGTAGACTGTCGCCGAGCGCTCTTTAATTTCACTGTTCATTTTATTCCGAAAACATGGATTGAATCATTAACTGATGTCGCTCTATTCCATTTGTCTAAAATCTGCGTACAGATCCGTTTCCAGATTCTATCAAAACAAAAAAGTACGACGCGACTGAAAATGTGAGTGTAGCCGTCCGTAAAAATATACCATACGATGATTTATCTGGCATTAGCGGCGACATCTGGCGGTGGGTGCTAGATTTCTAAAATTTATTTATTTCAAAATCTTCAAAATTTCTGATTAGCTCATTACATAAGCCTATTAGCGTATAAACAACCAGTTTAAATATACAGTTAGCGCTAATTTATATTTTTAATGTCTTCATTTAACGCGATTTATTTTGTAACCTACCGCCAACGGTCATTTTCCGTTTCCGCTATTATGTAAAACAACCATCTCTAGCCCTCTCTGCCGCCTAACGGAGGCAAACCGCAGACCAGTTACACTTGCTGGATAATGCTAACGAGCAGCGACCGGTCCTACCACTCAGTCCACGACTAGCTTTCTTGTTTTTAAGCACTCAATTGCCAGCGCGTGTTCGTATGTGTATTTGCACGAATGCATTTATTTGTAATTGTGCATGTCCCGACCAAACAACGCTCATAAATACTCAATCATTTTGCCAAAAAACAACAACAATTTCCGGCAACCAAAAACCCCACTCCAATGTGTAATGCAAGCGAAAAACTACGCTAGCCAGACGGGCACTCAAGGGGATGAGGTAAAGCAAAAAGTAAACGGGAAACACCGCCACGACATGCAACAAACCAATTGAAGTTGCTACACATGAATCGAACATGCAACGTAATGTTGCAACATGTATGTCGCGTTATGTGCTTGTGTGACATATGCGCCGCATAGCACCGCGTGGCATGGCATATTTTCGCTGCCAAAGGGCAAGCGTTCGCGTAAGCGCAAATGGCAAATAAAATATATGTTTGTACGATGTACTTCCGTTCTAATGAAAATGTTCGCTCGTTTGCCAGGAAATAACAGCAACAATAATGTAAACTAAAAACCACTTACCCAATCCTACACGCACACTTCTTCGCCAACTCTTAGCTAACTGAAAACACATTTCTCCTTCTTTATTCTCTTTCGGCAGGCTGACACCGCTCAACATGCCCGATTATGCTGAGGTTGCATGTTCAACATTCAAAACACCCAACGGCCCATTGGGACACGTAACGCCAAACGGAAATGCACATGCCATATTGCAGCAAACATCCGTTGGCAATGTTGGTGGTGCTGGTGGAAACAATGTGCCAGCCATCAGTGGCATACACAATGGCAATGCGCTCTATGATAGCTGCGGCGCGTATGCAACAACGAATTTGGTCGCGAATACCAAACTCTATCAGAATCGCTATGCCACAACCGCGAAAACAACAGCAGCTATGCCAGCTACAATGGGCAACACCGCCGCCAACGTTAAGGCAATGCGCCAATTGAGCAATGCCAACGGCAACAATAACAACAGTAGTCCAGCGCATAATAAACATGATGACTATCGCGCCGCTGGCATGTACTCGGCGCCACCCAGCGCTCACTATGCCGGCCTCATCGATTTGGCCGCGTCGAATCCTTTCAATGACAAAATGACCGCTTCCACTGCATCTACGGCGATTTTGAGCGCCTCACCAGCAAAAAGCGCAAGCAATAAGAAAACCGATGTGAAGAGTTTGTACAGTGGTAGTCAGCAAAAAATCAATATTACCGAAAATAAACTGGATCTCATGAGCAACATCAGTCGCATTTCGCCCACACCGACCATTGGCTCGTCCGGCTCATCTGCCGCCACCGCGTCCAGTTCCGCGGGTAGTGATAGCGTTAGCACATCAACTAATGCGCTTATGCCGCGCCTGAATCCCTTCAGCACAGGCAACGTAAGTGGCACTAGCAGCGGCAATGCTAATCAACGACAACTACAACAACAACAACTACTTGCCGCTAGTAATGCGTTGCGGCAGGGACTTGGCGCCTTTGCCAGCACCACTTTGGCCGCGCAGATGGTAACTGGCGGTGGCGCGGGCACCTTGCGTCGCCAGCGTCATCCGAAAATATTCAAAAGCGAAAATAACATAAACTTTGGCAATCTATATGGCAGCGGCAATAATGCAACTGCTAGCAATAATAAATCACAATTGCTCATTAACCACATCGGTGGCGGCGGCGTCGCTGGCAATGCGCTAACACTTAGCGCCGCCACAAATAACAGCAGCGCCGCGCATTTTGACTTCCTCACAGGCGGCGAAGATGGCGCGCTAAGCGTTGGTGGCGGCGGCGCGGCTTTAACTAATGCGATCAACGAGGCGGCTAGCAATTTTGGCGCCGCGCTTAGCACATCAACGAATCAACTGCTCAATGATTGGGCTTCCAGCGCCACCGTCGCGGCTGAGCAGCAATCCAACACACATACACCAGCGAACTCGCAATCGCCATTGCAGCACCAACAAACAACCCACCAACCAACGAATCAACAGCCACATCAACAAAATTACAATCACAGCTTTGGCAGCAAGCAGCCGTGTAAGCAGCATTTGTATGTGAAGGCGAAGGATGGCTCATGGTCCACCGTCTCCTCGGATGCCTATCAATCCTATAAGCAGCAGCAGCAACAATCGCTGACACAAGGTGATAAGCCACATACTATACAACAACAACAACAGCAACAGCAGTCGATAACAACAGCAAGTCATAGCAGTAATTTTAATGCCAGCAATAATAGTTGCATTAGTAGTAGCAGTAACGGTAGTAGTAGTATTAATAGTAGTAGTAATATTGCGGGCGCTGCTCAGAAGAGCTTTGATAGCTGCTTAAATGAATTCAACGCGTCACTGCAGAAGGCTAGCGCTAATAATAGTAGTTGTAATTACAGTAATATGCCCGCCGCCCCACACACAGACAAACACACAGCCACACATAAACAGCAAACACACGCGCTAACACAGCCAACGGCAACAACAAGCAAGTATTTTACGAGCTACGGCGGCAGCGATAAGGTGTAAATCATGAGGCGTTAACGCGCTTTTGCTTCGCTGCATTTTCACATTACTTTTTCACGAGTTCAAGCGCCGAAGTTGTTGTAGGTGGCGCTCACTTTCCTAATTACAAAGCGCATTAATGTGTGTCATTAGCGCTGCTTGCAATCGCAGTTTTAAGTGCGCAAAACTAGCCAGCGTCAACTGGCGTTGTGTGTTAGAAGTGAAATTAGTGGCCGGTAGTCTAGCTAAGCGCAAGCTGAGGCGTTAAATATTACATATAATATATATAAGATATTCAGTTAGATAAAAATTAAAGTGCACTCCGAAGATGAAACGAGTTGAGTGTAGTTGTTGGTGTTTTGGTGCATAAGCTTGGCGTACACTAACGGTAAATGCAGAAAACCATTGTAAAACGAGTAATTGTCGTGCACAAATTATAGTTAATATATGATGCAAACATAAATTGATACGATGCTTAAGTTAGTGAAGGTAGGTAAACGATATCACGAAACAAAAAAGCAAAAAATATTTAAAAGAAATGCACGAAAATTCAAAAATCCCACACAAGTAATATAAATAGCAAAAATAAAACCATATTAAAAATAAAACGTTTCATGTTACATATATCCGTGGCATACTGTAGTTATGTGTGAGAAAATGCACTAGCGCTAAACTAACCTGCCTAAGCTGCAATGAATACCACTCTTTGTTCGCATTCTTGCTCTTTTCTATTTAAGCAGCTAGCAAATAAGACATTTCAAAGTTGCAGTTTAGTCTGCATAACTCATCTATTGTACAGTTCCCAACCAACACGCAGTAATATGATGATATAATATTAGTCGAATCGGTAGTCTTGTTTTGAACGCTTTTGTAGTAATTTATTCCGTGGATTTTACAAAAATGAAAAAAGCGAAATATCGAATGGTGATTCGATCTCTTGTTTTTCGAGTTGAAATCACACAGTGAAATCGACAAAGATCTAAAAAAATGGTTTAAATAGTTTGAACATGGGGACACCTCGGTAGTTGATAAACCACGCCCAGATGTCTAGAAATACCACTACCAGAGAGGATAGCGTGACAAAAGTCTCATATTGGCCGATGGTAGCTAGCTCAGAAGGTCAGGTGGAACTTATCCTACATAAAGTGTTGATAATGAGGAAGCTGTTGAGCAATGGGGGCCGCATTTGTTCTGGATAACAAGCTTAACAGTGTTTAAGAGCAATTTGAAGAAGCTCTTCTGCGTCATTTTGGATCCGTTGAGAATCAGCCGAAACAGTGAAGCCGACGAACTTGTTTCGAAGACGATGAAAACTATACCAACCGTGAGAAAGGTGCCCGCCACAGTGTTTTGGGTTTCGATAGATATGATCTACATTGAATACCTAAGAAAAAGAAAAACGGCGACAACGACGGTCGGTTTCACGGCGAAATGCCAAAAAACCAGCTAATTTGACAAAAACAAGCTCACACCTTAGCCGTCGCCACGAGGCCAAATAGATCGTAACTGCTGTCTCATATAACGTATTATCCCAATTTGAAGCAATACAACTGCTTTTTGTTTCCAAAATAGATAAAGTTGTTCGCCGAATAGAAATTTGAGTCGAATGTCAAGCATATATTTCAAACGGGTTATAGAAGTTTAGGCATCATTGGGTGCACGCTATCGAGTTACAAATACACTGCGAAAAAATAAATCGCCATTTTTCGAATAGTTTCGTATGTCTTGTGTATGTCAAGAACATTTTGGTACGCCATTCTATACTTATTTTCGTACGAACCCCACTGCAAGTTATTGTATATGGAATTAATAGCTATACAAAAATTTATTTTGTGGAAAATAAGTATTGAGAGTTTACCAGTGAATATTTATAAGTCTTAAACACAGTTTTAGATTACAGTCTTTCTGCGAACTGTTGAAACTACTGTGCTAACGAACTTTAGAAACCTCGAAATCTAGACACTAGACAATGCCACTATGCACCTTAATACTACAACTTCGAACTGTGAATAAAATATTAACGAATATGTTTATGAGAATGCAGTTGTAAATAGTTGAAATGCATTTATGAATGATTTGTATATGTTCTATCAAAGATATAGGAATTCGCAAATACTAAAGGTTAAAAGTAAAGTTACTTATAAAGAAAAAATTATTTAATAATTATATAAATGCGAATAAATATAAAATATAGGCATAAAATATATAAAAAGTATAAATAATATATATATATATATATAAATATATATGTATATATATAAATATATATGTATATTTAACTATATATACGTATACCTATATAAAGCATATTAATGACGTAAACATTAGCGGCATAAAAGACAGACCTATGAAGTTTATAGCAAACTGCCAAAATGACGGCATTTATCTATAAAAAAAAGAAAGATTTTAAAGCAAATAAACATAAGAAAGCACACACACACCACCACAAATATGGAAGGGAAAAATGCATTACAAATAATTAGTGGAAATAAAATTTAAAAAATAGTAAAAAATTATGAAAACGCGAATATATGCAAAAGTAGCCAAGAAATGCGGGAATAAAAAACAGAGCTAAGCGAAAAATATTCACATATTTGAAAAGAAAAAGTACTATACTGCACTTAAGATTAAAAAAAAAAAATAACAAATAAAAAAAAACACAAATATCTTAAAAACTCGGCGATTGCCAGCAACTGCCGCACTTCAACATACGAGCATGTACATAAATATATGAGCAAATAGTTAGAACTTAAAAAAACTCTCCTGCTGACCCTTGTAGCAAATATGTATGTTGCAGACAAGTTGCACCAAATCAATCATGCAACAACAAGAAAATTATTAAAAAAGCAAAAAAGACGAGGAAATAGGAAAACGAAGCGACAACGCACGCAAACTAGAAATTTATGCAGACCTTAAAGCAAAAATAAAACAAAAAAAAAAAAAAATAACAAATATTATCGTACTCACCTATAATTATGTAATTTGTAATCTAAAGAGAGCTCCCCCAACAACCCTCCACCAGAAAAATTAGCAAAGAGCAAAAACGAGATTTAAGTAAATAATGAAAATATGTACGAACGCTAATAATAAGGCTGTTAATTGTATTTGTAAAGAGTAAAATTAAATGATATTTAATTAACTATGTATTATAAGCAAACAAAATTAAACCAAAGTAAATAAATAATTATGCTGAATAAAATAAATAAATAATAAAAAAATGTGTAGCTATTATTTACGCTGAATTGATACTTAACCCTGCCGATAACCTAAAAATGTGTATGCAAATAGAACTTAAACAGCCTAGTATTTCACTACCCTTTACGCTAGTTTAACCAAAATTGTAGAACGTAATTGCCAAACCTTCGAAAGATGGAAAATTTAAATGAGAGTATTACCGAGGGGATAAATTTTATAATTTTTAAATTTTTTTTTCCAATAGCTTTTGAAAAACTAAGCAGAGCGCGGAATCCTGCTTAACGTAGTAGTCTTGTATGTAACTTGCATTTTTTTAATGCTTTTTTTAATATTTTATTTAGAAAAAAATAAAACTCAATCAGTTTCGTTTTGTAACACATTATTAACAGTATTTCAGAGTTTTCACAAAAAAATATAATTTTTTTTTTTTAATTTATTGTTTTGTTGCACTGAAGTGAGCGTCTCAAAAAAAAAAAAAAGGAGGTGGCTGGCCCCAGTGACTTGGTCGCTTGAGCACATTTGAAATAGATAAATCAACAAGATTTTTGCTCTGTGAGCTTGTATTTTGGTTAGATAGATTGTTTAAACAATTTTGTTTGAAAATAAAAAAAAATTTTGACTTCGAAAAATTTTTTAAATTTTTTAAAGTAGAAATCGGACTGCAAATTAGAAAGTTAGCGATAAAAAAAAATTTAAAAAAAAATGTTGATGCCTGCAAAAGCTATTGATGAGTAGCACAAGATATTTAAATTCAGCGCAATCGATTGGATAGCAAATTTTTTATCATCCGGGCCGACCGTACGAACGTGGTTCCGAAAAAAACGATAAAATATGTTTCATAGAGTTATATTTATATTATTATAAACAAATCATAATACATATCAATCGTCTATTTCTGGTGCGTATAATAAACTTTCAGCTACTTCAAAAGCCTCATTGTTAGTCACTTTTTCTACGGCCTACGACTAATTTTAGAAAGCTAAACTGCGTCCTTTTCCGCTTTCGAAATACTACAAGAAGCTCACGTATCGGTGCTATAACTTCGTCAATCATTCGATTTTCGTTCTAAAATTTTTACAGTATATTCCTTATATATATTGTAGTAAACGCTTTGAGCTTATTACAAATTTGTTGAAGCGGCTAATGTCAGTTTCGGCTATGTTTTCTGATTCGCCGAAGTTAAGATTGATGAGATGCTTCAAACTGTTTTGCCAAAACTGGACAATGGGGGAGAAAGTACCTAAAGGTTGCACTACGTAGCAGTACGTCTACTGACACTTTGATATATGAGCAGCCACTTTTGCCTGAAAAGCCTCTGCGACGTAGTGATTTAAGTTTGCAGAAATGCAGTTAAAAGAGGAGAGAATTTCGGCGTGTCCTTGTTTGGACCCCTTCATGTACGCCCAAGTAGTGTGCTCATTTGTGCGAACTGCTGATATCGGGTCTCTATAGGATATATCTGTCATACAAACTGATCGTTCAAAAATTAAAACCCTAATATGGAATTTTTTTATCTGGCAATATATCCTCGTTATTTAGCACAGATTATTATTCAAGACAACACTATAATTTCCGAACATATTTTACAATTTGAATCACTATAGCATACAGTGACGTTTCGAGATTTGGCTATACATGTAGTTGCTATAAAAAATGCGAATGTGAAGGGTATTATAACTTCGATAGCCGAAGCTAATGTCTTCTCTTGTTTATACTAGACTTGAAAATTATTTTTTAATTTTATTTGCGTGTAATGAAATAATAATTTTTATTTATTTTATTTATTTGTTTTATACTATATAATTTAAAAATAATTGCTTAATGTAGGCAAAAACAAATAAAATTACCGCAAAAATGTTAGTCGATTAAATAGTTAAATTTTACCTACTAAAGCTTAAATGACTAAGCTGTTAAATATGTTTGCGAACAAAAACACGCAATTATTACAATTCATTAAATTTTTATTTGAACACATTTATGCGCATTTGATTTCACTTAGCCACGCATTTACACATTTCGCACGCACGCACGCACATGCACACAGCACGTCCTTGCCATTTCCTTGCATTTCGTACCATTTCATTTCAAATCGCTTCATATCATTACATTATTCATTCACTCAAATGCCAACTGAGTTAAATTTAATTGCAGCCACAACAATTTGGCCATTAAAACGTCGCCACAGCGCCTACATCGTTTTGGATAATTCCATGGATTTTATCATCTAAATGCGGACCACAGCGCGCCACCCATTTTATGCTACTTCACTTCTACTATTTTCTAATTTTTTAACCAATGCAACGCTGATACACAGCAACAGCAACAACAACCGAAGTAGTAGTACCAACACAGCGACCACTTGCAGGACAGTCGATTTGTGCAACAACTCACACCACTTCATTTTGGACTCACTGCCGTAGGTGGACCGACACGCAAAAGCCGCTTTCAGTGTACGCCTTCACAATAATTAAGTAATATTTCATTGCAAAGCAGCTGGCAAATATTGTAAATACTTTTAAGAGTGAACAACATAATGCACGGTTGCGATTTACACACAGCAAAGCCACCAACCAACCAGCCCATGAAGCGGCACCGGCGACCACAATTTATGCAAAATGCGCATGCAAATGCAAAAGTGTAGGTAAAAATGTTGCCACATTTGGAAAACGATCAGCCCAACAGCAAGCAGAGTTCGCTTCGCTTTCGGCTGCATTAAGCGCCGCATCCAACGAACCATCCATCCAGCTACCGTTCCATCAAGCGATGTGGATGTAAATGCACATGTTAGATTTCAATTAACCTAAAATGCATTGCTGTATCATTTAAATTTTAGCATTAGCGTCCGGCTGCCTCTGCAACATGCAACATGCAACAAATGCATTCATATTTACTATAGCACATACACAGACGAATGAAATTACAAAGCAAACGCTACTAAATGGTTGCTATCCACGCTCACTCATTCCCTCAAATGCCTGCTTGCCGCCACCACCTCCCGCTTCCTCTTCAGCGTTATTTCGTGCTTCCATATTTATGACTGTAGAAATGTTAGTGGCCTTTGCTTGTAACATCTGGCATGTGGCAACATATGTTGCATAGAAAATAGCAAATATCAAATCACAAATAACATTTTATTACATTATTGTTGTTGTTGGCGAAAATTCATTTGCCGACAAATGAAATGGAATACCGGTATGAAATGAAAATTTAGCACATACCAATTGGATTCTGATCGTAGTTGCATGAAAATGCAAATGTATATTAGGGTGGGTCGAAAAAAGACGAATGTGGAGCATTCAATTTCCTACAAAATCCACTAAAGGAAATATTTTTTCAAGTAGTTGGCAGCGAGATATAAATTTTTCTAGCTGATAATAAGAAAAAATAGAAATAAAGTAAGAAGGCGGACTTTCCCCTTACAATTAAGGGCTCATACTTAAAGAGTCTTTCTTAGAGGTGCCCAACAACCAATTTTTCAAAATACCAAGCGAAGAAAAAAACATTTTTTTTTTTTACCCACCCTAATGTTTATATGGCTGGACGAACAAGAGCAAGTATATTTCTTACTGCCTCAGCTCAGCTTGAATAAACCGAATTGTGCTTTATTTAGAATAATTAAGTAAATTCAAATAAGAGTATAATTTAGGAAACTCTAAAAATTGTAGAAACAAGTCTTATTTCACTGGCGCTCGTACCTAGATAGGTCGGTGCACCGCCTTCTTCGACTTTTTGATGTATTTATGGGACGTCTTCACCAACTCCATCAAATTCGGTTCAGTTCGGACGGTATTACACATCGGTCGTAGATGCTGAATCTGAGCAACATCGATATTGGCGAAGAGCACCTTTTCTACATCCAGTTAAAAATGTGCTTTTGCCATCACAGATAAGTCCTGAAGTGATATTGATTTTCATAATACAGACAACCAATGAATCCGGCATTAATTAATGAAAAAAAGATGATGAGCTTCAAAGAAAGTACACTATCGTTCCAAAGTCATCAGCAGGAGCTCCGCTGTCCTCAACCGGTTTAATTCTGGACGGCTGGAGCTTGCATGACCTCGATGATGTGAGCTGGTCAACCGGCAGCCGATGTGCGGCCCTTCTACCCTACTTGCTCTCAGCAAGGTTGGTTTTGCCCTGGTTGTAGGGCACAAACCATTTTCAAGAGAGCTTCACCTTAAGTCATCTAACTATAGCGACATTACTATATATAGCTTCGGTATAGAGGTTAGAAGATCGACATGGCATCAAGAACAAATAATAAGTAAAATAATTGTAGAGAGTTAGAACGATTTAGGAGAATTGTACAAAATTGCCTACAAGACTATTGCTAAGATCATCTACACCGGAACGCCGTTCAGCAAATCTTAAAAAATCATTTCAATTTACGGGTTAACAGGTTATAGTCAAGCCTGAAGTGAAAATTTTTAAATTTTTTCCACACCAAAAACAGTTAATAAACTAACAACTTCCAACTGGTTAAGATTGGACAAAGGGCAAGCTATAATAGTGTATAGAAAAAACTAAAGGCAAAAGGAAACCAAAAAATGGATAGTGCGCCTAAAATCAAACTTCGGTTACTGTGGTAACAGTGCACTTAGCAGCGCTGAACTGTGAACCAGCTTAACTCACACTGCTTTTCGTCAAATTTTTCGTAGGCGCTACTAACCACCACTACTCGGCATACTCAAATTATATTTGTAGGCGTTGGTGCATTCAGTCGTAACTTTATGGTCCGCTTATAACT